CGAAGCCCTTTCATTCCGGAGGGTAAAAACTTATGGCAGAATAGCTCCTCACTCCTTGCGCTTACTCACTCCGCTCGCCCTTCGACGCCTTTTATTAGTCCTGCTCTACAGCTCGGTGCAGATTCACGGGAGCTATGTCGCTTCGTTTTTCCGCCATTAACGAAAATATTTCATTTCTGTGGAGTGGCGACATTTTTTTCATCATTTCGGTGCCTTTTTTAACTCGTGTATTGCTCATTCCTTTTGTCTCAAAATTACCGTGTTTATGTGCTTTAGGAACTGTTTGACTTGAGTGCTGTTGATTTCACTATAATCGTTTTAGTTTAAAAAATATTTGAATTTTACTGTTCTATTTTCATTTCTGCGTTCTCATTTTGGAGGATTCGGTGGACTGAAATGTCTATATCACCCCTCAGAAATGATATTAACACCCCACGGAAATTTGGAGAGGCTCGATGCTTTAGGGTTCCTTGTTGAATTCGAAGGTAGGGTTTGTTAATCTACGAAACTATTATGAAAACCTCGCTAGACAAATGTAAACTGCCCACACAATAATAGCATACCTATACCTACCCTCTTCGTAATATCGTAGGTGAGTTAGAGACCTACCTACCTACTAATAGCTAGGTGTGTTAGAGAGCGAGCCTACTAGTATGTGAGTGTGTTAGGGAGAAAGCGCATGCCACGTACCCATCTACCTACTAGTAGGTAGGTGTGTTAGAAAGTGCGCATGCTGCGTACTAGGGTTTTCAAATACCCGACCAATTTTGATACCCGGGTATCGGGTACGATTTTTTTAAATACCCGGGTATACCCGGGTACCCGGGTATTACCTTTTTAAGTAAAAATGGGTTGAAAATTGAGACAAAAAGATTAAAAGTTAACTCTATTTAAAGTTAATTATAATACCAAACCATGTACCAAACATAAAGTGATAATAATTTAGTAACATAAGACAAACTAAATAGGTAAACGGTAAATATTTCAATTATCCAACTTTGCATTACCCTCGCTTCTAATAAGAGTAAGATATTTCAGCGTGTTTTACACTATACAATTCGAGGATAATTAACCTAACTTTCTAAAGGCAAAAGAAACTTAAAATCGGATTTTGAGAAAATTCGTTACAAACCTATAAAATACTTACAGAAAATAATAGGAATATTTTGTCATAATAATATACTATAGAAAATTAGATATATAAAGTCAATTTGTTTAAAACACTAGACATATGAAGTCAATTTGTTAAAAGAAATAATATTTTTGAAAATATACCTTAATCCTTCAATCTTTTTACTCTTTTCTTTGTACTCCATCAGTCTATCTATCTCTTTCTCGAGTACCCGGATACGCACGTCGTTTGTACCCGGGTACCAAAAATTTGAAATACCCGGGTATACCCGGACCCGGGTACCCGGGTAGAAAACCCTACTGCGTACCCATCTACCTACTATTAGGTAGGTGTGTTAGAGAGCGCGCATGCCGCGTTCCTATCTACCTACTAGTAGGTAGGTGTGTTAGAGAGCGCGCATCTACCTACTAGTAGGTAGTTGTGTTAGAGAGCGCGCATGCCGCGTACCCATCTACCTACCAGTAGGTAGGTGTGTTAGAGAGCGCGCATGTCACGTACTCATCTACCTACTAGTAGGTAGGTGTGTTAGAGAGCGCGCATGCCACGTACGTACCCATCTACCTACTAGTAGGTAGGTGTGTAAGAGAGCGCGCATGCCACGTACCCATCTACTTACTAGTAGGTATATGTGTTAGAGAGCGCGCATGCCACATACCCATCTACCAACCTACTTTAGTAGGTAGGTGTGTTAGAGAGCGCGCATGCCGCGTACCCATCTACCTACTAGTGGGTAGGTGTGTTAGAGAGCGCGCATACCGCGTTCCCATCTACCTACTAGTAGGTAGGTGTGTTAAAGAGCGCGCATGCCACATACCCATCTACCTACCAGTAGGTAGGTGTGTTAGAGAGCGCGCATGCCGCGTACCCATCTACCTACTAGAAAATATGTGTGTTAGAGAGCAAACATTCCGCTTACCTATCGACCTACTACCTACTTACTATATTACCTACCTACTAACTACCTACTGCCTACCTACTACCTATCTATTGCCTACCTTTTACGTGCATACTACTTACCTACTTCCAACACCCTCACTCGTCCCACTCGGCTGTAGTCACCGGTTCCTCAGTCATCCTACTCTGCTGTGGTTACCAGTTCCACACTCGTTCTACTTTGCTGCACCCGCTACGTTGGTTCTTCGCTAATCCCTTCCCATACAGGCTTATTTCTGACTATTGGCTAAATCCAATCGCATTGAAAATTACCATACAGAAACAGAACACTGCCTGTCTAGAGAGACTCGCACTTGACCACTTCATTTCGATGGACATATTTCATTTCGGTGCAAACTTATTATTATTTCGGTGGACAATTATCATTTCGGTGCACACTTATTATCATTTCGGAGGACTTTTTTCATTTCGGTACACACTTATTATCATTTCGGAGGACTGTTTTCATTTCGGTGCCTTTTTCAAAATTCAAACTCGAATATCTCAGCTTCTGATTAAGATATTGCTAACATTTTTCCACAGTTAAAATAAATCACCATAAAGATTACCATTATGTAAAAAACGTTCCAGAAAACGGAAAAAATAAATAATCCTCCGAAATGAGACAAAAAACGCAGTTGTCGATATTCACCCTGGAACTGAATCTTTATTTAAGCCGCTTATACATAGTAACGAAACACTGCCCAAATCAAATTTTGCCGGTCGAAGAGATCACAACAAATATAAAAGTAACGTCTTTGTATTTTGTGGGCTGAGCGTGAAACATAATGTTAGAGGGTTATTGTTACATAAAATAACACCATAAACTGTACAGGCCTTTAATATTGAAATAACCTTATATTTTAAAAAGGCTATCAAAAACGTTTGCATGTATTTCAGTCGCAGAATTCGGATTGTTAAAATATGAAATCGAAGAAATTTGACACGAGTTGTCAACTTAGGTATCATGTCCCAGATCTAGACTGATCGTAAAGGTTTTCAAGAGTTTTCCGCATGACGTTTTGAACTCCAATAGTACTGTACGTGTATAAAAATCACTCGAGACTCTTGGCAAAAAGAGGATAAATACCTATGAATACCTAAATACAATATCTTTTCATCTGCCCCTGAGCCATGTCAAGGCCGTACAATTTGTGACATAATAATGAGGTTGCGAGTTTTAACAAGGCCTTTGATGTGTCTACTTTACCGAATACAAAAGTATTTTTGTGGGAATATTTTAGCATTTTCAGTGTCGTTACCGAAAATCCTATCTTTGAAAATCTGCTTCGTAAAGACGTCTTTCTCATTTCCTACTACTTATATTATAACAATAGATAAAAATCATGTGCTTCCTAACTTAGCATTTATTTACCCTCAGTATCAACACCTATAGCTATACCTAAGGGGTAAGCTCCACAGAATAGACGCGAGGCGCAACGCGCAACATGACATCTGTCAGACAATCACGTGTGCAGCTTTGTTACCTCTGTTTCATACATTTTATAATGGACACGGTTTCAAGCGTCGCGATGTCGCATATGTCACGTCTCCGATGATCACTTCTTTGACAGATGCAATTTTACGTGTCACATCTTCTCTGTGGAGCTTGCGCCTTAGGGCAGTGGTTTCTAACCCTTTTGTTGTCGTTACCCCTTTGGTCTAATTACGCGCTTAACTTTACCTACAACTACGGTAAAAAACAACAACACCCTTAGCAAGCAGGATTTTTGAATTTTGAGGACAAGCATGAAATAGAAACACACGTAGCTACGCGGGTCGTTTCGCGAGCGGAGCGATCGAAGATTTTCTCGTTGTAAAAAATACGTCGTAAAATTATCGCGTCATTGACAAACACACACACATCGTTTTTTTTTTGTAAGATCTCTTTACTCCCATCGTTACCCCCATAAAATAGCTATTTCATCTCCGTGGAGGTTTAAAATTACCCCTTAGATCAGGAACCACTGCCTTAAGTACTGCAAGTTAATCCTTTGAAGAGTAAATCGAAGTCCTAGCAACTGACGATAGAAAAGCTCGTCCTTGGCAACAACTTTCCCTTAATACCCATAAATTTCCCATGGGATAAGTGGGTATCCGTCCAGCTACATTATCTAACTGGGCAACTGGTCCTATGAATTATTTATGGCTCGGTAGTGTTTTGAAAGGGCCTTTGATTGGATTATGTTAAGGGCTGCTTGGGCTGAAGGCTGAATATCGTGTGTCTGGCAATTGTTCTTCCGTAAACTCTGAAACGAGAGCTTATCAGATCTTTCGTCGACTCTACGTCCCACACGACAAAAAAACGACAATAACAGTGCATGTGGTGCAGGAACAAAGTGATAAATATAAAACTTTGTGAGTGACCTTCTGCGTCGCAAGCAGTCTCTCTGGCACTCCTTATGATAAATATAACATTTGTGATTTTTTTCTAGTCAGTTTAAGACAATACAGGCTGAACCACCTGATTTTGCGAAAAGCAGGAAAGAAAAGATGGTAGGCAGTTGAAGCATTTTCCCGGTATCCATATAAACCTTTTTCTTGAGTCACTCTATCTTTTACATAAAAGCGCATCAAAATCTTTTTCTTAGTTTAGGAGGAGCATTTTCCACGACAGACAGACAGACAGATAGAGAAACGCGAAAAGGTAACTTCATTATTATACTATTTATTGAGACCTACTTAACTTTACAAAGACCAAGAATTACCCTAGCTTCGGGATTCTTTATTGGTACTGGATATTAAGAAACAATCAAATAAATTATAATAGATTAAAGTAGAAAGTTATAATCAACCTTCATTTTACCAACATAAATGTTTTTATTGGGATTGTAATGCACTCACAGTGCTATATTATTCTCACAAGTGAAAATAAGAAATAGAAAAAATGTCATACATCGACCGGGAATCGAACCCGGGGAATCCATCAGCCGGTGCATCGATAGCTCAGTGGCAGAGCGGTGGGGCGTTTACCCATGCGGACCGGGTTCGATTCCCGGTCGATGTATGACATTTTTTCTATTTCTTATTTTCACTTGTGAGAATAATATAGCACTGTGAGTGCATTACAATCCCAATAGATTGATTAAGCAAGTTTCATCATATAGTTTGAATTCCACTCATAATGTGGACTAACCATGTAGTAAGTTCTAAAAACTTTCTACAAATGTCGCTGGATCGTCGCTTTGAGACGAGCATCAAGAGATAGAAAATTTGCCATCCATCAGCCGGTGCATCGATAGCTCAGTGGCAGAGCGGTGGGGCGTTTACCCATGCGGCCCGGGTTCGATTCCCAGTCGATGTATGACATTTTTTCTATTTCTTATTTTCACTTGTGATGAATGTTTTTATTTGAAAACGGTAACTATATCAAGCTAGTAGTGTGTACACAAAACTTCGAATGGATTTTCGTTCGATAGGGCTATTTTGGTACACATGCAAATAAAGGAAGAATTGGTTACCTACTCGAATACGTATTACGTAAGCAAATACGAACGAAGCTTTCATTGTATGAAAAACCCTAAAAAGAAGAAGACAAATATACACGTAATCGATTGTCATGACAAGTCAAGGACATTTAAATAAAAACATAAGAAAAATATATTGTTATGTGTAACGTCCGTTTGTACGTTGTTTTTGCGCTGTGTAAAATATAATCGAAATTGCTTCATCGTCGCTTCAAGAGATGAGCATCAAGCATGGGTTGCAGAATTTGCAAGGATTGGCCATGCGCCGGTAGCTCAGTTGTCGAGCAGTGGGACGGTACCCTACGGTCCCGGGTTCAAGTCACAGCCGGAGCAAACGAATTTCTCAATTTTATTTATGAAAATTATATTTATAGCACGTTTCCTCTTTATTTCATTAGCGTAAAGCGAAAGTAAAAAGTCCAATGGTGGTAAAATAATCCGATTATAAAGAAAGTATCCGGTATTATATTTTTGTCTTCGTACTTTTGGCGTGAATCCAAGGCTTTTAGTTATACCACATAAATATTTTTAGTGGTAAGTTAAGGTTTTCTAAACTGTCGCATGGGATTTTTATGTTCCTACTACTTGTAAATAATTTTATACAACAACGTATAAGTAAAAAAAGAAATCTCGTTTAATGGGCCGGTAAAAAATAAACATATTTGAATATCTATCAGAATTAGTTAGTTATAGGTATGTCTTTAAATTAAAGCGAGAAACATTCTGTAATTTGTGCGTCGGTTGTTCGATTTTCCACCTTATTTTTAAATACATGTATAATATGTCAAACGGTTTGACAGACGCATCTGACAACGCGGTATTCGTAAAAGGTTCACTCGGTTCTGTTTTGGATTTTCGCGATTGGCACTTGTTACAGAGCAAGGGTTGCTACTGTCAAAAATCTCAAGGTATAAAAAATATTAAAACAGCAAAATCTGACAAAAAACGTCATATAGGGTCAAGTGGGGATCCATGACGCGCGGGGCACTGTGAAACAGTGGATTTGTCTATGTCTCCTTTTATAATTTTAATTATGCTTTTTGTAACTGTAATGTCCGCCTAATTGACCGCCATGTTTGGACTGTTGTCTTTTTCGGATTTCATAAATAGTTTCAAAGTAATTCGCAAAAAAATGATTTTAGGTCACTAAAGTAAAAAAGAAAATCTTAAATATTTTCGATATCATTCCTGATGCTGTAGTTTCAGGTTAGAATACTTTTTATCATGGTAATTTGGGTTTATTAGGGAATGATTTTACGTATTAAAATTAACTTAAAAATAAAACGAAAATTAAGTAATGGCCATTTTATTTTTTACGGATGGTATGGGGCACAATGAAACGGGAACTATGAAACACGACTTTTTTATACTTAACATATAAAAATTGTAAAAAGTACAAAATGACATGTAGATTTGTACTTTTTCGGAATATTAATCGAAAATATATGTTTTTAGTAATTAATTAAAGAAAATATTATCAAAAATACTCAAGATTTACAGCGTGTTCCATTACTTTAACTGTATAACTAACATATTTTGAGAAATATGAAATAAAACAAAAAGAAAATTGATTATATATTTCTTTACTAGCATAAGTTGATTATTACGACGATAATTAAATTTATTCAATAAAAGATCAAAGGTTCCTACACAGAAATTGTGCCGTTTCATAGTACCCCATAGTATGTTACACTGTACCCCAGATACGGGGCACTGTGAAACAAGTTCCCGATCTCACTAAAATGTCATTTATATTTACATTCCAGGAAGTTTTATGGGATTTTCGTTTTTTTTATAAGGACTGTTAAATACTGATTATTTTGGCATCAAATTTGATTCGATACAATTAACGGTTCACGAGATACGAAGTATTTTAACTTTTTTGTTTCATAGTGCCCCACCTTACCCTACTTCTGAGCCAATTTTATATCCAAGAAATGTGACGTTCGTGTCAACCACCTTCTTAGTTACCTTGACTACCCCTGAGATTCCGATTAATTCTAGTTAAAGTCAGTAACCGTCAAAATCGTCGCTAGTACTGAGTGAGCTATCTGTATAGGCGCTCCGCCTGCCGTTTCCATAATTTGTGGTATGCGTATGAATGTAGGGTGGAGAATAGAATGAACGAAGCACAAGAATGTTAAGCCCAAGGCTATTTTTTAATCCAACTCGAACTGACAATTCGTTGGTAATTACATTTGATGCAAGAAAAAATACTGAAAACCGAAAAAGTGTAACAAATAGTACAAAACTTACAATATATAATATTATTTCTATTCAACTACGTTGCAATTACGATTTTCCTTGAAGTTTCTATTGGTTTGAAAGTGGGTTCAAAAGTTAAACATGCAAACTATTACAGATTGAGTTGGTAATTTCAAAATGGAGGACTTACAGTTAGTTATTTGCATGTAATTCTGTGATTACAGAACTTAGTACAGTGAAGAAAGTGGGTTAACTTCGTTTGAGAAAATTGCATTAGAGAAATTATTTTGTAAGGTCTAGGCTGTACCGCTGCAAAGTTTTGCATGCTACTGTATTTTGTGTTTCACTAAGTATAATATTACAATTTATTTGTATGTTTCCATTGAATGTTGACAAAATCATTTGTATGATGTAACCTAAAATATACATTCCATGTAAAAAGAGATTTCTTTTATGCCAATTAATGTTTTGAAAGCTAATTGCATTGCAAGGTTCCAGCCTCCAGGTTCTATTCTCGGTTGGGCACTGAAAAAACTTATAAGTACCTAATTATCACTTGGTTAATTTGTTCCCAGTCTGATTATGAACTTTGCAAGCTGATCACCTTAATTGTCTGAAGAAGGAGATGGTTTCGTGTGCTGTCTATCTTTAATAACTAGACAGCAGTCGTTATAAGTGCAATTTCGAGAGGTCTGATTCTAGTAGTAGGCGGTCGTCAAACGCTGACACCAGGGTTCATCGGGTCGTTTAACGACTTGTTGTCCCACAAAAATAGAAGAATAGTATAATTCATAGTCCATCTGGATTATACATATCCTAAAAGGTTGTCGTATGGACGCTTCCATGCGTGATGACGCGAAGTGAAGGTGAAACAACCAGGACTTTTCGCCATCGGTTTTTCGGCACTCATCTCTTCAGCTTAAATGCTGACTAAGTAAAAATAGAAAAAGATCCAGTCCCACCAATTCACAAGCGCCTGGCAACCCTCACTGCATGGAAATCTAATTACTTATTCTGTTTTGTGAGATGAAATATTGGAGCTATTGAAGGCTTCATTCAATAACTGCTCATGAAGGATATCCATCAACTGGAATTGAGTATTTGACAGCTGATAAAGCTGTACGAGAGGGGAACATAGCTTCAATCAAATATAATAAAATATTTAAATTATGTTTCTTCAATCTTTATGTACTGGGGGTTACGAAACAACAATAAAGCTGAAAGGACGTTAAGGTACTCATGAAACTGAACTACTTTTCCCATGGAACAAGGGTTGAAATATGAAAAAAAAAATTGGGCCTCCCGAACAAAATTGCCGATAAGCTGATTTGAGCTACTTTGGCGGGTCAAAATTTTATTTGTTTCAACTCATGTTCGTTGAGGAAAGTTGTTCAGATTGACCTCCTGTCAGCTTTATTTCTTGTTTTGTAACGCGTTGCATACATAAATATTTTCAAAAGTAAAACAAGCAGCTGCTCCATGACTTCCGTGATAATGATACCTTATTTCTGTAATTCCTATTAATTAGAACAGCGGAAACTATTCAGTTTTTTTTTAAATAATCTTTTCTTTCTTTCCGCTTAAATAATGTATGTATTTAAACTAAAGACTAAACAAATTCAACAATTTTACCCGCCAGTCTTCTCTTGTAGGTGTACATATCTTATAAAACGACTAATACAAGCAAAACAACCAACTATTATAACAAGAACATTCCCGCGAACGTATAACAATACCCATGCAAAAACACTCTTTCATATTACAAAGTATACCTTTGCGTAGCATCGTACCCTTATAAATATGTAGGTGCGTACCTTAGAGTAAAGCAAGCTATAGAGTGCGCGTATCGCTCCGCGCCGTACTGCCAATTTTAAGCAAAAGTCCTATAGATAGATACCCTCGTCAAATGAGGTAGAAATGGTAGGTAGAATTGTGTTGTCACTGACGTTTTGCTAACGGACTGAAAGGTTCTGTTCATGATTATGCCAACCGTTCATACCTAGTTAAGAGCACTCTACAGCTTGCTCATATATACTCTAAGGTACCTATTCTCCCGTTCCCTTTTAGTAAATAATGACGTTCAGAACTCTCCACCCTTTTTAGTTCATGGTCGTTGCACAGTAATTTTTGCTCGAGCTGATACGAATTCTGCGTACTAGCGCCAGCAAAGCAACCTATCCATTCAAGGGATCACCTTAGACTAGCTTTGCTTAATATTTGTTTGATAAACCAGTATAAGTTGGTCCCTTAAATGGGAAGGTGGATGAGCCTGCGATACTGCCTACTTACGTCTAACATATTCAGAATTATGTTGATAGTAAAAGCGTATTGTTATCTAAATCGCTTACTTTCAAGAAGGTTTTAACAGTTAGGTATGTATAAATCATCTACCACACACAAACTGTCTGCGATAGATCCCAACTGCTAAAAACATAGCTAAAGGGAGCTAGGCCTCTGATTAAAATACCCTACAACGTTTGAATTTACGCTCGTCTAATTTGTCACGCGACACTTTTTATTTATTTTTTTACCCCAGTCAAAAGCTATATTGCTAACAAATAAACGCAAAGTGCCTTGTGTCAATATTTGTATATTGCCTCGCAATTTACCCTTCCAAATGATACATGGAAAG